AGTTATTTGGTTACTTGTAAAAATCAGACCATGTCATGACTCTCGGCATATATTACATATTATTATAGCCACAGCAGGAACTCCTTCATTGTTTTACCTTAACTTTAATACAAATTTGTTTTAATTACACCTCAGTTACATTTCTTTTTTCCTAATGTTTATTTAATATTACCTTACCCGCTTGTGTGCTCTATCACTTACTTTCCATTGCATGCCATGGTGTGGGTGTCCAAATGATCCTCCCTGTGACTTAAGGAGAGTACTTTGCTTGCTTTTTTTTCTTACCAAGAATCTCACATTGCTCTTTATTGCTCAAGCAGCTCCACCAGGGAAAACCGTTATGATTTGGCATGGGCTTGCATGCAGGCAGAGGCACCCATTTTGGATAATTGCTCTGAAATGTGCTTATGTAAAGGTGCCTGAGGCAACAAACTCACCACAAAAAATAATAACAGTTTTAGTTGAGCAGTGGAAGAAGTTTTAGAGGGAGAAGGAAGGAGGCGGAGAGAAACGGGGAGGGAGGGAGACGAGGAGGCTGAGAGAGAGGAAAAAGAGGAGTTTATGCAAGAAAGGTCATCTTCTGAATAGATGCTTACACTGCTTTATTGTGTACACAGCGTATAAGGTGCTTCACACTGAAGAACTCTCTAGGTTGCCCTCTGTACTTTTCAACCCTGTTGCGGTTCTAAGTTGTGCAGTGAATTTATTTCTGCTTTCGTTATATTTATGAAGCTGGATAGCGTTTGGAAGTGAAGTGGGGTCAGTGAATTGATAGGACACAGCTGTCCTTCCTCCCCTGTACACACATTTCCCTTGGGCACATATTTGCACACATGCACAGAAACACACACCTTCCATTGAGGTGAATTTGTGGTCCCCTGGTGCCGTGGACACAATGTCACATTGCCTCATTCTCTAAAACACACACACACGCTCGTAACACTATTGCTACCGAACTGGAAAAAAGTGTGTCTGTCATGGCCTGCTATAGCTTAGCACTATGTGGGAATATGTGTGAGTGTGTTGTCTGTTCATCCCTCGAGCGGTTTTCTTTAATCTCCTTTAATTTCATTCTCAATCTTTATGGAATCAACTCTCACAACCAGCTCCTCATTTCACCATCTCCCGTACTAATTAAGACCAGGAAATTGTTCCTGAAATTGGCTGGCATGAGAGAAGTGTGTCTCAACCCTCAATCACTTCCTCATTCTCTGTGGCTTGTTATTTTGCTGCGTTTACGTGTGCAGGTCTGTGTTTGTGGTCGTTTTGTGTCGTGCCTGCTTGTTAGTCTCCATCTCCTGTGTGTATTGTCCTCACTGAGACAGTATCTCACCGTCTCTGTCGCTCTCTCTTTGTCTCTCAGCATCACTCTGTGTACGCGTGTCTCTGCGTGTTGTGTGGGTAGCCATGTGGTGGATTTAGGGCTAAAGCTTTGGGTGATTACTCCCATAATGAACCATCATGCTCTGTTCAGGCTGTCATCCCCCACAGGGATTGACTGCATTATGAAGTTATCATTCAGCCTCAGCAATACTCTGTGTCCTCATATAACTCTTTTAACCAATAGAGCTCTCCACACGAAATCTGATGATGATAAGAATTATATGTATGAAATTAAACCTTGTCATTCAGGTGGGATGTTTTTCTGGAGAATGTGTGAAATCTTAGGGGTGTATCTCTAGAAAGCAGACGGCATTATAACCTCTGACGCCTTGTTCTCACATACAAATTCAAATTTCCTTTCAACTTGAATATGAATATTTGCAATATTCAGAAATAAACTACTTATTTGAGGCGAGTTTGTATGCCTCACTTGTCCTCATATTTACAAAACTCGTTGTATTGCCTCACTTGGAAAGACATTGCTAGCATATACTACATTTCTGGTGTGTGCCTGCACAAGTTAGAAGTGCAGAGGCCCACTAATTCTGGATATTAGTAATGTTAGCATGTATGAACACACATGATGAATTTTTTGGTCAAAGACACATTTATCAGCTGTCACCAAGTCACTGTTTGATGTGCATTTCATTGCATTGATCATAGAGCCTGACAAACGTTTGCACTATTCATTTAACAGCCAAAACACACAGTGACAGTGTGAGTTGTCTTACCTTAAATTTACATTTACATTTACCCTCAGAGGTTTCTGTGCAAAACTGTACTGCACTTTATTAAAATCCCTACATTTAAATAGTTAATGTTGCAGCTTGAGTTAAAGTGGAGCTACAAACGTCACAATTACAGCGCTTAGTAATTCATCAAATCACCACAGCTCCTTATGCTTCCCCAGTATTTGAGTCTGTCTATGTGAATGGGGGAGAGAGTGATTCATGATTCAACATTCAAACAGTTGAATATAACTCAATATGAACCTTCAAAACTTCTTATACTTTTGTAAGCTTGGGCAGATTTTATCTCTCCCCTTGTCTTTGTAGGATTGGGATCATGATGAAGGAGATGTAATCAAGATTGATGGCTGGGAGGTTTTTATGGATTGCTGGTTGGTTTTGAGAGAGATGAGGCAGATAAATACAGATGATACAAGGTGGACTCACTGACATGAGCTTCTATTGAGTGGCTTGATATAGAGACTGTGGTGGACAAGTATTTAGGTGAAGACCAAACAGGTGGTTTTGGTATTAAGAAAGAGTTAGGTCCTGCTGTGTGCTGCCAACTTCTCCTTCCTTACTTCTCTCTCGCTCTGCCTCTCATCTTTCAACCCCCCACCTGCTGCCCCCCCCGTCCCCCCCCATTTTACCTCTCCTTCTCTTTCACTCCGCTTCAATGTCTGATAGCCACTGTAAGGCGACTGTCCTGATGAAATACCCAGAGAGTGACTCTGAGTCGACCAGTTCGGCATTAAAGAAGTGTCCGTGTGTGTGTCCACAAATGGTGTACCACAGCTGATGGGTAAGGTGATTAAAAGAGCACACCTGGGAACCAGGAGAGGAAAAGGACACAAAGATAACACACACGCTGTGTCCTCCTATGGATGTTTTCCGTATGGTTTTAAAAACTAAAGGGCAGAGGAGAGAGAGGATTTGTCTTACACAGCTACCGCCGTCCTTCACAAACTAACAAAGTGACTCTCAAACTCTTCAAAGTGAAAGTTTTTACTTGATGCTGCCATATCAACAAACCTCTGGATATCACTTTGAAATACACACACCCTGTTCCTGCAGACACAGTATGTAGCCAATGTAATGAATCATCCTTACATTCTGACATTAATTCAATTTGCAACATGTGAAACTCTATCATCCAGTTACAAATGTTGCTCTCCCATACATATGCATGCATGTCAAATAGACACATCCATGTCCGTGTGTGCAACAAATCAATATTTGTAGCTATGTGAATGGATAAGACGTTTTGCAGATCTTTTTATCCAGATCGTGTAGAGTCCGATCAGAAATAAGATCACAAACCTCTGAGTTGCACCCAGAAGCTTGAATGAGAAAAGCTCCGGCCCCTCCATATGGTCTCATTTAGAAATCCATCACAGCATCGGATCAGCATCATAAATAAAGTCACCTGCTAAGTCCCGCAACATTGCCACGCCTCTCAGCTTACAATTTGTTTTACAGCCTTTTTGTACGGCAGGCTAATTATTGTAACATGTGTTAAGCCGAGTTGCCAATATGGGGATATATGCATTCAGCACGCTGTATGCTGTATGGCAGCAGACTAGGGAGGTGAACAGAAAAGTGAAAGACAATGGCAAGAGTGAATGTCATTACAGCGTCAGACGAATTTTATAAAGTAGTGTAGTGAAAGAAATTCCCCGGGAAAGAGTTGCAGAGGCAAGACAATAGTGCTGAACATCAGCAGCTGAAGAGTGGTTTCCCCTTTTGAACCCTCGCAATGAATACAATTCACTCTTTTGTGTATAACAAGCGTGGTCTCTGACAAAAATGTATTCGGCAAAAGGATTTGTGAAACAAAACTGTCCATCCATCCATTTATCCGTCCACCCACAAGAGTTTTATTTTGTGTTTTCACTCAAGTCCTTCAACGCCTTCACTCCATCCTCCTTTCTTTTGTCTTTCTTTCTGTCAGTCTTCTTTAAATGTCTTGTTCATTGTCTTAAAGTCTGCTGCTGTGAGCATTTTTCCCATCCAAAATGAAAACAGCTGAGCCCTCTCTGAAACGTCCTGTTGAGGAAATGGCAGTGCATTCCACTCTGCTTTGTAATGCTGTCATTTATCACAGCATGTGGACCATTAGTGTGAATCATTTATTGTCTTTGGCCTGCTTGAGATCCCCACACTCCGGCATGTCTATATGGAACGACAGCAGGGTTAAAATATTGTGCGTAGTGATTGGTGGGTGAACATGCAACAAAAGCAGCCTGTGTTTAATGTGTGAAGCAGCTAATGCACTGAAAGCATGATCAGCTTTGTGTGTGTCTGTGCGTATAAAACTGTTTTAACATTCTTAACATGCAAACATGGTCTATCTGTGAGCGTGTGAGTGTGTGCGTGCGTGCGAGTGTGTGTGTACACCCTTGTGAGCATCACTTGCCTCTAAGAATATACAGCTAAGTGTTTTTCCTTGTTGTGTACATTTCTAAAGTGACAGGAGAGTGGGAGAAGTCAACATATGCATGGCTGACTTCAACCACTGACTCCATAATTACTGTGTCATTGTTGCAGCGGAAAATGAGGTAATGAGCCCGCTTAACAATGACACGGCACCATCTCCTAAATGGGCTCCCTGGCTGCTGAATCACAGGATGCTTCTGCAAAATGGCCTCCCACACAAGTCCGCTTTCCATTGCGGCTTTTTGCTTTGATCTGTGAGCTTTTTCACTGGCTACTTAAGCAACATTTCCACCACTGTATCGTAACCATATCACTTAAATTAAATCAATATGTTATCCGGTATCAGTATGATGTAATCCGTAGATCCTTTTTGTCATAGTCTCTCTGGCTCGCCTAATAACCTGTCCTTCAACAGTCATTAAGTTTCCTGTCTCTCTTTGTCTCTTTCCCCAGACCTGAAGAAGTCATTCGAACAGGAACCTCTGGGAAAGGAAGTATCTCTGGAGCAGGAAGTGCTGTTACAGTGTCGACCTCCGGAGGGCATACCATCTGCTGAGGTACGTGCAGCGTTATTGTTAACCTTAAGTTGAGGTGAATGTGAAGCAGGACGTCTGATTAAGAGACAGGATTTCTAGAAAAGAATGAGAGAGAGATGTAGCATGAAGACAACAGAGGATGTGAACAAAATGTAAAAGAATCATCAACTCATTGAACCATCTAACTGTGAATGACGGACAGCAGAACATTGATGGGTGCATGCACTCTTTCACAGTCAGTGGTTGAAGGGTGTGCCGAATGAAAAAGTATTTTGACTTTTTTGCTTAGCCTTTTTAATTGTGTCTGAACTGGTACGACTTAATATCTCAAAATCAAAAATACAGCAACTGCAAACACCCGTTCCAACATGGAATAGTCCTAAATGTCCATTTGTTAACTATGTAACTGAGACAAACAATGACTGAATCACAGGAGGAACAAATGAAAACAATGAAACTAAATAAATGTCACACTTTTTCCTATATCATGTTTTCAGAAACATAAAGCATTGCATCACATTGTACAACGACATTCATGTTGAAGTGTCACAGTGAGAAATCAGGGAAACAAGCCCGAATCTTGTTTTGAGTGACAGTTGCTTGAAAGCTCTGCTGCAACGAGGTAACACTGATCCAAAGTTTAAACTTAGACTTAAATGTCCCCAGAGAGCCAATTTGAGTTTCAGCACAACTGTCTCAGAGTGATGAATTTAGGCTAAACCTCTGCAGTCTCTCTTGCTGTACCTGAGCTTTGCAGGAAATAATGAGGATAATTAACAGAAGTGGATTGCCTGCTTTTCTTCAAAAGGACTGGGAGATACTATCATGTACCTTTTCATTAGCACGGATGAACATATTGGTGAAGAGTGAACAGAAGTGAATAAACTAGCAGGAAAGGGAAAACCACACAACTGGTTGAGTTCACTTTGGTGGAAGTTTGGGCCAAATCACTACATCATTGTTTTGGCCATTTAAGATGCGTGACTTTTGCTCAAGAGCACTTGACACATACATACTCGCAACTTCACAACACTACCCTCGTCAATGCAAGAGAATATTATGTATGCTGCTACTATATTGTCAGCACATAGACATTTTATTCACTCATCGACCGTGTCGTGCAGTGAACATCCACTTTGGCGAAGCCACACGTGTCACTTCCACTCCCTGAGGGCCTTAACTACTGTGAAGAACCTCATTCGCAATTCAGATATTTCTTTACTTTGCTGGTTTCATCTGGCTGCGTTCCCTCCTGAATGGATAAAAAGACATAATTTCATTTAGTTGGTCGCTGGGGAAGAGCGGCACAGCACTTGGAAAGGGCTGCGCTACCGGATAAGGAGTCTTTGAATCAGGTTTTCACTCCTCAGGGTTTGATAGTCGTTTTCAATTGCATCTAAGTACACAGCTCCCCTGAGAGAGATGGGGGAGGGTTGAAGGAGAGGGGGCGAGGGAGGTACTCAGACAGACCGCTGTACAAAGTGGAGGGAGAGTGAGTCGGTGAAGGTGGGGCAGAAAAAGAATTAGACAGGAGGTTTGGAAAAAACGCAGTTATCTTTTCGTGTCCTTTCACTTCTAGAAATCTCTGAGGTTAATCAAGTGTTATATATTCATCATATTGTGACATAGGTTACTTTAAACAGTAGGAGCCACAATGACTTGCAGGCTATTTCTCATTTTGTCTCTCTTTCTGACACACAACCCCGTTTACACTCACAACTCACGCTCCTTCCTCTTGAGACAGATCTCAAAGCCAATGACTCATTACTACTGCTGCCTCATCTGCTTTCTTTATTTTTGACACCTGTTGGAACATAATACATTCATGCACACAAGCGCAAAGGCACGGACGCACACTGAGAGCTCTTTTTCGAGTGTGTTCAATTTGCCACCTTTCCCATTCCTTTCTCCTGTCATAATAGGATCTCAGGGCAAATGGATTGGTCTGTCTCCCCCTGCAGTACATCTATGTCCAAGCTGATTAGAAGGATTTAGGTTTAAAACCTGCTGATGACCTCAGGTTGTAGCTCACCTTTTTTCTTTTATCTCTTCTGACTTTCTATTTCTCTTTGCTCTTATCATGTCCATTCTCTTTGCCATTCTCATTTCCTTTTTCTCTAACTCGCTCCTCCACACACTTACTCACACACACACATACACACAGAGACAACCATCTTTTTTGTCTTTGATTGACAGCTCTGGGGTCCTGTGACCTCTCTAAAAATGTTCTAATATTAGCGGGTGTTGTTGCCTTGTCGACCAGTTGACGACTGCTGTAAAGTTGTCAATGCGATGGGGTTGGTGACCTGATACGTGATACCCAGATCGTAATGCCCAGCTGGCATCACGTGGCTGTCAACATGCCACACCAAAGCATTGACTCCTTAAACACACACACACACACATTAAAGCATGACAAGAGGTACACTAAGGGACAGATTATCCAGTGATCATTTTAACTACTGCACAACTGTTAGCCGTGAGAGGTCAGGGTCAAACCAATCCAAGATTGCAAAGAAAATGACTAGACACCAACCAATGCACCATTATTTCCTTTTCACTTTCCTCTGACAGTAGGCTACTGCTCTTGTCATCAGTCAGTCTCCTCTGTGTTTTCCTCCCCTCTCTCTTTCAATCTAAAGCTCCTGAGAGACACAATTTGAGGCATTGCGAAATCCTTGAGAAACATCTAAATCTCTTTAGACTGCGATAGAAAGCCTTTAAAAGCTGATGGAAAGCTATTGGATTCAGCAGGGAGGGTTCGGCAGTTCAACTGGAAAGGCTTTATGGACACAGAGGGTGAATTCAGAGAACTTGCAACAAGTGCAGCACAACGTTCACTTTCGATGAAAAGTTTGATTTTATTTTATTTTTTATATTCATATAGAACTTTTTTCTGGTCCAAGGTCAATTCGAACTTATTTCTTAGAAATCTCCACTGAGGCCCAGCAGCACTGTAACATTTAGATCTGAGTGAGAGGCAACTTGTATATTTCTCTCACAAATATTGTGAGGTTCATTAGGACACTGAAGCAGCCAAAGTAGGCAGCAGCCTGACAGCAACAATACATTTTTTATCTTGAAACCCAGCGAGTAGGAGTGACCCCACAGGCCAGGCAAAGCCAGTAGACTGCACATAGCAGGTGGGGTTATGTATTTGTGTGTGTGTGTGTGTGTGTGTGTGACAGAGAGAGAGAGAGACTGTAAGTGTCTGTGAATATTTTTGTGTATTCCTGACTGCGTCTGTCTCAGCATGTGAGTGATTACCCCAGCTGCAGTGAAATAAACACATCAGTGTGTGGTGACAGGAACCCCACGTGTCTATCTCTAACACACACACACACACACACGCGCACACATGCACGCGCAGAGTCAGACAGTAACTGGATATGTGTCTGGAGCCTGGTCAAGTTCCTGTCACATTCTTAACCACTCAATCCACACTTTAAGTTCTCCACTTAAAATTGGCTTATCATCAACCAATACATTATCTATCTGAGTTTCATCTTTCACTTTAGAAGATACATTCTAAGTAAAGTCAGAGACCACTTTTAGTGAGAGGTTTTATCATATATTTTACAATATTTATATCACAATAAACCTCAAGTAACATTTCACTGTGATGTGCACCAGGGTGGTGTAGGGAGATTGTCCTTGGGATTTAGATTCAAGCTGCAAGCTCCAAATCCACCAGCATTCAGCACTGTTTGTCTTGCTTTAAGTGTCCTTTAGCAAGACTCACATCCAGCTGCCAGCTCCGAGGTTGCTTTCATGTAGCCGATCACAGCCTGCAACTGAAAAGTGTTTACTTCAGGCAGTACACATACACCATATAACCAGGAAGTAGCTGGGACATTTGTAGTGTTCAAATGTGTGTTTGTGTGAATCCAGGAGGCACAGCCTCACAAAACACACACACACATTTGGCCTCCCTCGCAGTGACTATCAATGTCATTTTTTGTGAATGACTTTCTGCGTCAAACAGTGTGGAATAAGTCCAGTCACAAGCATGTGTGTGTGTGTGTGTGTGTGTTTGTGTATGGGTGTCTCTCGGTGTGCGTGAATGCCTTTTTGTGATGCAAATCACAGCAGACGTTTCTGTCAGAATGCATCAGTGGTGCAGTTTTGCTAAAACGCTAATGGCTACCTCACTCTCACAATCGTACAGTATACTGTACACAGACGCACTGCATTTCAGTCCGTGAAGTCCCCATTGTTTTAATGTGTCGTATGATGACGTTTACTAGCAGAGTCTATCTGGAGGTTATAACACCGTCGGTGGTGGATTGCTTTAAATGGACAGTGACAGTGTGAATTAAACTGTCTAACAAATAAGGCATGCTCTCTTGTGCCCAGAGATCGAAGCAGATCTATTGAATTCCTTTAGCTTTAAACTGCTTTCAGATCCTACTGGAGCTCAATGTTCCTCTCGGCCTCAACGACTAATGCTTTAAATGCTGCAAGATAAATTCCATGGAAGTTCTGAATACATCCAAAATGTCCCCAGAACCTACCAATTATTCCATCAAAAGCTCTTTAAACTGATTTATAGGTGAAACACACATTTTATCCAGCAAAGGAATGCAAGTAGAATGGTATTTCTTTTTTTTTTTTTTTTTTTACTTCTGAATAAATAAAATTGAATAAACCCAAGGGATAGGAATGTTATATCAAATAAAGCCCTGGATCTTCCCATAGCTTTGCAAAAATGTTGTGACCATTACACCAGCATGATTAAAGTCATTTCATCCTGGCACACTTCTGGAGAAGCACGTGTGTGTGTGTATTTTTCTGTGCTCCAAAACAATTTATGTAATGCTGCTTCCCCAATAGATCCTTACCTTAATCCTCTTTGAGATAGCATAGTAAGCCCCACAGCTCATCTCCCATCACATTTTACCTTGATCCTCAACCTCTGTCAGAAATCATCACCGTAATCCACAGATTAGTCAGCAATCTCTTCATATTTTTACCGAATGTGAATTATTGAAATGGTTTTAAGATTATTAAAACGCTGTTGC